AAATTAATACCCGAACATGTTTCTTACCTGTCCTCTTTCCCACCCGAGTTTGCCCTATCTCTTTATTTTATTAGATATGTTGGAGTGTTGCATTTAAAATTTAAATCATAATTTCAAAATTCAATTACCTATGCTTTATTCTTCATACTTCTTGCCGTGAGAAAGAATCTTGTTTTCTCTTCCATTTTTATTTTCCATTCTAAGCAACGGACTTTCAGAGTGAGCATTTCTTTTCATTCATTTTTTTCCCATTTTTACTTTGATTCTTCTAGCCTTTTTTTCTTCTCTTTCCCATCGGTAAACAAGAAAAAAAAAATAAGAAAATGAGTGAAATTTTTTAAAACCAGAAGAAGATCTATCGATTCTTTCAAGATGAGTGATTTTTTTTTTCCGAAATTTTTTTCCGTACATCAGTAAGTAGAAAGAAGGAAAAACAAATTGTATTGGTTGATCTCCTTTTTGAGTTTTATATTTGTTTGTTTTTTTTTTCATTTTGTCTTTATTTTTATTTATTTGCTTTTTTACTTTCAAATATCTGCCTCTTAACCAAGAAACCGTTTTTAAATAATGATTATAATTCTAATTTTGTTCCTTTTTTCAATTTAGTTCCATCCTAAAAATGGCGACCATAAAGCTTCCAAGTGGTTACAAATTCAATCCCAAGAATCAGGATATCTTGGACTACTATCTTTTTCACAAGATTGTTGGAAAGTTCAAGACTCCGCTTCAGTTGCCGGTGATTGATGTTTATTGTCAAGAGCCCGATGAGATATGGCAAAATTTAGGAGGTGTTGATGGGGAAGACCTCTATGTTTTCACCAAGCTGAAAAGGAAGCGTACTCGTGTCATTAGAAAAGTTAGTGCCCCCAATGCTGGAACTTGGAGTGCTGAAACAGCACCCACTAAAATATTTTCCTCCAACACTCCAAAGATCCTATTAGGTACTATGAAACGTTTTCACTACGAGAACGGTCAAGACTGCAGTCAATTTTCCTGGATTATGTACGAGTATTCTCTCGATCCCTCCATTCTACCATCAACCAACACAATCGATATAAA